TCTGCTACTGCATAATCCTTCCAGCTTCTCAGCCTGTGAATTGGCTCACCTCTTCACACCCCTGTCTTTCCTCTGGGATCTGGGAATCCACGGCGATATTCCTGAAAGCAGTTTGTGTTCTGGAGTGCTCTCTGTGCTGATCCCTGGACACTCTTAATCTTTTGACCTATAAGACAAACTCAGGATTCAGTTCAGAGAATACTTTTCAGTGGCCTACTTCAACCATACTGCCTTCATCCCCGTGCAGTCCCCTGTCCTTAAATCCTTAAAGGTGTAAAATGTGGATGAGAGATCATGTTTATTCTCCAGAGGATCATTGAGTACAAATAACTGGAAAGGGGCTTTCACTTCTGGAAATGAAGTAGTCTTGGTTTCCCAGGGGCCATTTCTCATGATCATCTCTTTAGGGTCAATTCCTATTTGTACCATTTCACTAGCAGACACAGGTGATATTTAGCCTTCCCCAGATTTTTTTTCTTACAGAGGTAGTTGCAAAATACCATGTTATTAAAGTAGACGAAAAAGAGTTTTTGACAGATGGAGATAATTCTGTAAGTTTACAGACTGAAAAATTTTATCATGTTTTGGGAAAACACTGTAGTAGAGTTTGGGGAAAAAATGACAGAGTATAGAATCTGAGCCAGCAGTGGCCAGGAAACAGGCATGCATGCCATGAGTGATGGCTTATACTTTAAGGGATATTCCAGTAAATATATGAGCTAGTCATTGCATTTAGAATATACCATCTCTTTTGACATCAGAAAATAAAAACACCTGTAGAATAAATTTACATATAGATACATTTTCTGAATCTGCAGCCTGATGTTTTCTGAGAATTTGTATTCTTTCTCTCAATACTTTATATAACCCACATAGCAAGGAATAGATTTCTTAAAGCTTGTCAGATTTCCCATTGCAAATCGAACCAATCTATGGCTCAAACTGTTTCCCAACTCATGGGACTTCCACCACCTTCTCCTTTATCATTGAGTTTCAATCCTCTACCTCTTATAGCAGTCATCTTTATTGCAACATTTAACTGTAGGTGCTGTCAGTTTTCTTGGAATAGCAAGGTCATGGGCAAGACCAGCTCAGAGAAGCTGAGTCTGAGATAATAGCTATTTGAAATCTTCAATGATTTCTCTCTCTCTTATTCTGATCTTTAACTTATATGTTTATTTTAGAAAGAGTTTTTCTCTACAACAGACAAATGAGAATGGTAGATTTAGCTGAGAAGGAAGGTTTCATATTTTCTTTGTTTAAGAGAGTGAATCATGGCACTTTCCTGATTTCAAATATGTCAACCCAGGTGTGGGAACCACACCAGAGATGCCTGATAGTCAAGGCCATTTAAAACACAGGGCCTTGTTGTCAATGCACCGAAGGTTTAAGGCCACTGTATGCCTAGGCTAAGATACCATACGCAGGTGCAAGGCCACAGCAATCTCACGGTGTGCTGGGCCTTTTCTGTAGCCAAAATGATTGATGTCATTGTTGGCACAAAACCTCTTTTGTGTAAGTAATATTAAAAGTATGTTACTGAGGCTAGAGAGAGCTCAGACAGAGCTGAAAGCTGGTACTGCCACAATGTAA